TTAAAAATCCCTTATTCATTTTCTCCGCGTTATCTATGGTTTTTTAGATGTCTATCGAATGTCATATCTCTTTTCCAAGATGAACTCTCCTAGTTCTTTAATCTTTTGTCATATGGAAGCTGATCCATACTCTTATTCAGTTTTGTTGCTTTTTTCTGTACCTTTTCTAATGTTTAATGTCCAAAACTTCATGCACTACTTAAGGTATGAGTGTACCATGGATTTACAGAGTGGCATCATTATATGTGCAATTTTATTATCTATCACGTTCCTAATGATTCCTAACATTCATTTAGTTTTCTGATTGCTGCTGCACATTGAGTGCAGGTTTTCAGAGAACTATAATGATTGCTAACAACTCAAAGATCCGTTTCTTTAGTGATAACACCTAGTTTAGATCCCATCATTTTATATGTATAACTGGGTTTATGTTTTCTAATGTGCATTTCTTTGAATTTATTAACATTGAATTTCATCTGCCACCCAGTTTTGTGAAATCCTTTTGTAATTTTTCACATATCACTTAGTAATATATTGAACAACATAGGTCCCTGTACAGAACCCCAGGGACACTACTAGTTCATAGAATAGAATTATAGAATCATAGGGCTGGAAGAGACCTCAGGAAGTCATCGAGTCCAGTCCCCTGCCCAAAGCAGGACCAACCTAGCCAGGGCTTTGTTAAGCTAAGACTTAAAACCCTCTAGGGATGGAGATTCCATCACCTCCCTAGGTAACCCATCCCAGTGCTTCACTACCCCCCTAGTGAAATAGTTTTTCCTAATATCCAACCTAGACCTCCCCCACTGTATTTTGAGACCATTGCTCCTTGTTCTGCCATCCGTCACTACTGAGAACAGCCTCTCTCTGTCCTCTTTGGAACCTCCCTTCAGGAAGTTGAAGGCTGCTAGCAAAAAGCCCCCCTCACTCTTCTCTTCTGCAGACTAAATAAGCCCAAATTCCTCAGTCTCGCCTCGTAGGTCAAGTGCTCCAGCTCCCTAATCATTTTGGTTGCCCTCCACCGGACCCTCTCCAATGCGTCCACATCCTTTCTGTAGCTGGGGGAGGGGGGAAAGAGGGGAAAGGGGAGGCCAAAATTGGATGCAATATTCCAGATGTGCCCTCATTAATGCCGATTAAAGGCGAATAATCTCTTCTCTAGATCTGCTGGTAACTCTCTCCAGTCTGAAAACTGACCATTTATTCCTACCCTTTGTTAGCACTACAAAAGAATCTCACAAATCTGGGTGATTGGACAACTAAATGGCAGATGAAATTCAATGTTGATAAATATAATTGCACATTGAAAAACATAAACCCAACTATACATATAAAATAAAGGGGTCTAAATTAGTTGTTACCACTAAAGAAAGTGATCTTGGAGTTACTGTGGATAGTTCTCTGAAAACATGTCAAAGGCTTTCTGAACATCCAAGTACTCCATTGGGTCAACGTTGTCCATATGTTTGTCCATATTTCCCTTTAGAAAAGTTGTGCTGACTCCTCCCCAACAAATCATATTCATTTATGTGTCTGTAATTGTGTTCTTTACTATAATTTCTGCAATGTGCCTGGTAGTGAAGTTGGTCTGGAACTAACTCAGTCACCTCTAGAGCAGTGTTCCCTCTAAGTGGCACAGCAGCACAGCTTCACAAGTGATTAATCAGCCCCGCCCAGTCAAAGGCTCAGGTGGGTGCTGGGTAGGGCTGACTGATCACCTGTGAAGCTATGCTGCCACGCAGCTCAGAGGGAACACGGCTCCAGAGCCTTTTCTAAAAATTGGCATCATGTTAGCTATACTCCAGTCATCTGGTACAGAAGCGGATTAAAGTGTTATATTACACATCACAATTCTTCTCTTGGGTGATTATTATTTGGTCCTGATGACTTATTATTTTATTATCAATTTTATCTGAAAGCCCCTCTACTGACAGCTTGATATGGGACAGGTCCTCAGATTTGTTACTAAAAGAGACTGGCTCAAGTACGGGAATCTTCCTCACATCCACTAAGGTGAAGACCAAAGAGAATTCATTTAACTTCTCTGCTAGAGCTTTTTCTTCCTTGAGTGCTTCTTTGACACACCTTGATCATCCGGGGGCCCAACTGCTTGTTGAAAGGATTCCTGCTTCTGACATTATTTTTAAAAAAGAGTCTTTTGCACTAAGGTTTTGAGGTTTTTGGTGGTTGCTCTTTAAACGCTTTTTTGGCTGGTCTAATTAAACTTTTATACTTGACTTATCAGAACTTATGATCCCTTCTGTTTTTCCCAGTAGGATTTGGGTGTCAATTTTTAAATGATGCCTTATTTGCCTTAAACGGCCTCTTTTACTCAGTTTAGCTATGGTGGCTTTTTTTTGTCCTTGCTGTGTTTATTTTTTTAATTTGGGTTATACAGTTAATCTGAGCCTCTACTCTGGCATTTTAAGAAAGTGTCCATGCAGCCTGCAGCCATGCCACTCTGAATATTCCTTTTATTTCCGTTTTTAACTAGCATCCTCTTTTTTGTATTGTTCCTCCTTCTACAGTTAATTAGCTGATGGCATTACAGCTGACTGATTAAAACATCAGAAACAAAAGCCTCTATTTATTACAGTTATGAGTTGAAATATGAGAACAAAGTAACCTGATGTATAGAATAAAATATTATTTTAGGATACATTAATCACTTTTCCTTCCTACACTGTCATTTTCATTTATTCCCTTCTAATCTTCACAGTAATAGCAATATCCATGGAGATTTTAGCAGTTGAAAATTCCTCACTGCCTATTATCTAAAATCAGTATTTATGTTGAGACAGATATTGTGACAAGCTCCAACATCATTCACCTCCAACTACCGTACCGTTTTATCAACTGTAACTTATCACAGAAGTCTTATATAGGAAACACCTTTGTGTTAGTGCATGAAGTTCCCATTTCCCTCTCTGCATACAATAAACAGAATACCACTGGAGCTTCTTGTATAATTGCAAGAAAAAACACTACATTAAAATGGAGTTAAGGCTGAGGGTACATCAACTTAAGGTTGAAATTAAGAAATACAGTAACTTAAGGGTACATAAATTCTTACAGGGCTGTAGTAATGATCCCCAAACAAAGAATTACCAGCTCAGGAAAGTCACAATTGGGGTTACACTTTAAAAAGAAATGCAAACATATTAAGGGAGGGACATGTACCATTAAGACAGGCGCCCAAACAATGTATATATGTCATGTAGTGATGTTATGCAAGAGCAATAAGATAATGAATAAAGAAAGCATTTTAATGTATGTTGTCTTTCATCAAATTAAATTGATTTTAAAGACATTTTCCATATTTCGTTTCCCTTCAAGGTGTCACTACAGGGCAAAGTCACCCTTTCAAACACTGAGGGCCACAGCCACAGAACCTTTAAAGAACACTAACATTGAGCATACAAGTCAGCCAGTGGGAATCACTGACATATATGTACAATCTCCCTCATGCAGCTGATGCATTACAAACAGCACGATAGCTGTCAGACAGAAAGGGCAATGCGTAGTTGACTTACTAATGGTATCACAATTGTCTCACTTACTAATTATCTGGGCTGTTGACCTGACTCTATCTATGCCTATATAAACACAGCAATTAGATATAATAATTGTTAATGATTTAGGCTTTGTGTAATTAAGTATGTACAAGATTTCAATTAATTTAACTATATGGAAAAATTGAAGATTCTGTGATATACTGTTATTAAGACCATTCAAGACAATGAAAAGACTGATACAGATTTAAAATTTCTTAGATATGCCAGTATTTAATTTTACTAGTACATTAATTAATGAATTTACTAGTAAATTCTGAGAAAACTTGTTCTGCACTCAAAGCATAGGTGCTGTATATTTGGGTGGATATACGGTATATTTCATATGTAACAACGAGGCTGAATACTTGCTTTAAGTGCAAAATGGAACTCATCTTTCACAATGGATTCATGACCAGTGTCTTCATAAAGGTTGAAAAAAAAATCTGGGTCTGGAACAGTATCTCACACACTGATGCTTCACAAGCTTCTGAAGCATAAAGTAGATATTGGTGAAATTCTAATGGTTCCTACACAAATTAATAAGAGATATTAGGAAATCGTAACTGCCAGATTATGAGGCTAGTACGGATCACCCAGAGAGTCTCACTGACATCATAAAGTGAACGATTGGTATGGGCAGCAGCAGTGCAAATTTCTTACAAAGCCTTGTTAATGTTCTGTACAGCAACCATACATCATGAGACTACTTCAAAAGGTGAGAGGGTAATTTTTTCACTCTCTGATAATCTGAGGGTACGTCTACACTACATGCTCATGTTGAAATAAGCTATTCCAGAAGAAATACTCTGAAAAAGCTTATTTCAAAATAGCACGTCTACACTGCAGGGAAGCCTCAACATTAGTCCGAGCCAGGCTTCCCTAATGGGGACATGCTATCTCAATTTAGAGCCCCAGGAAGCACTGGGGAGTAATTACTTTGAATGGCCTCGGGGAGGAGCTATTTTGAAATAGTAGCAGCGGAGCATCCACACTACTGCTATTCCAAAATAGCTACTTCAGAATAGGCATTACTCCCTGTAGAATGAGGTTTACAGAAGTCGGAATAAGCCGTCCGATATTTCAAATTTATTTTGAAATAATGGAATAGCTGTGTAGATGCTCGCATTGTTATTTCAGAGTAATGGGCGTTATTCCAAAATAATGCTGCTCTGTAGGGGCACCCTGAGTGAGATGTGTATCACCTGGTAATCTAGAGGCAGGCCCCCTGATGGGGGTTGGGAGGGGCACAAGGGGGCAACTGCCTCGTGGTCCAGCAATTCAAAGGGGCCCAGGGCTCCTGGCCAGTACTGTTGCTACTGCAGCAATTGGAATCCTGGGCCCTTTAAATTGCCGTTGGAGCCCCAGGCACCTCTGAGAGCTGTTTGCAGGAGTCTTGCCCCAGCCCCACCCCTTATGCCAGTGGTCCCAGGCCTTCCAGGGTGCTGAGCCAGCCCCCGCCCCCATGTTGCTCAAGGGCCCAGCGAGTCTGTTGGCCCCATATCTAGAGATGAAAGGCTCCATGGCTACAGTCTATAAAGAGACTTATGCGGCGTGTAGCATTCCAGAGTTGAACTTTTAGGTATGTAGAAAATCACTGGAATCCACAAACTCTGGTTTAAGTGCCTAAGATCTTTGTGCATAGGCATGTAACCTCACTTCTTGCAAGAGGGAGTGGTGGTGCTGCCTCCATTATTAGTTTTAGTCCAATGGGAACATCTGATATGGTTCTCTCAGTCTCTCCTGTTAAAACGATTCTACTTCATACGCATACTTCAATAGTCATTAGCCCAAAAAAGTATCAGGTTGACTTTGTAGGCTGGTGGGTTAGGGCACTCACGTGGGAGCTCAGAGTCCCAGGATCCAGTTCCCCTGCTTTAATGATTATTTTTCCAAAGTGGAAAAGCTTGAACAGGAGAGATTGAGGAAGACCCACATCAGTATACCAGGCAACTTTTACAACACATATTTAGGCACTGAATGAATTTAAAGAGTTACAGGGTTAGGTGCCAGCCAAGTGCAAATTTTGTGGATTGCACTGGTGCCTAAAACAGAGTTTAGGGTGCATAAATCCCTTTGGGGATCTGGGCCTGTGTGCCTCCTTTTCTTCATCTGTACATAGGCAATAATGATACTGGCTCCTGGAATGTCCTTTGAGATCTACAAATGAAATATGAGATAAGCATAACTCTCATAGCTTAGCACCAATCTTCTCGCTTTCTCATTTTAAGACAGAAAATCTCTCAGAATTCCAAATAATTGTTGAGTTGCAATGTGCATAACAAGCCTCCTCCAATTTTATCAGATACACTTAGGATAGTTCTTATGCTGCTGATGTAAATGATAAGCAAATAATAATTATGTCTGTCAAAGTATTTTCTAAAAAAATCACATTCAGAGATACCTTTATCAGCATACTCTTTTCCACGAAAACAGAGAAAACACTCATATTTTCTTATTTATTACTACAACAAAACAATCAAGAAGTAAAAATTGTAAGTAAGATTATGCTTCACTTAAAAAGGTAATACCAGTACTTAAATCACCTAATTTAAGTGCATCTCACTTAAGGAGATATAAGCCTTCTTCCATGGGCTACTTACTGCCAAGCTAATTTTACTGGGTATTATCTGACCCCTCCCTGCTAAAATCCAAATGAATAGCATAACATAATGCACTTTTGCAGAGATTTGACATGATCACTAATGGTGCTTATGTAAATACCCTGCTCAGAGAAAACAGATATGCAGCTCAGTTCCAAGGTAATAAGTGACCTACTTATATGCATCCACTCTGCATTATTATTTAACTGGTTTCTTGTCTTTTTGGCAGTCGGCAATGAAGCAACATTTTAATCACGGGTCCTTTATAAATGACAAACTGTGAGGGCCCGATTCTGTTTCTATACTGGTGCCATCAAGAATAACCTCACTGAACTCAATGGAAGGATACCGGTCTAAGGAAGAATGGAATCAGGGTTTCAGAAGTGCAATCATAGGAAGCCAGATGCAGCCACCTTGTTGCATTAGCAGCAGACTCATGTGAAATTAACCCCCGCAGGAACATTTACAATGGGTGTTCTTCTCAACACCAATTCTGTATCTCCTGGAGAAGAAAGGGCAAGATTATGGCTGTTTTCTCTTCCTTCCTGGAGAAGAGATTACGCTGTTAAAGGCACAACAGAATGTGAATTTTTTTAAAAGAAAATTACACCTGTTGCTAAATTACACAATCAAAGTTATGTTTTCAAAAGTGGATAAAATGAATGAGCATGTCAAAATCCATATGAAATCACTGTGCATCACAAACTCTGATTTTGTCCTGGTAGTCTGAGTTACTTGCATGGACAGAACAGGCTCATGCAAATAGGTATTTGACCAGACAAGTGCCTAGCTACATGTTCTGGGGCCTGAATTACAAAAATCTATTTACACATTTTTATTTCACATGTCACTAAATCATTAATAGTTATATTCAGAGTCTTTTTCAACTCTCTCCAAATATAGGCCCTAAACAGGCCTATTTGAATTTGCACAGGCATCTGTTCTAGCACGCTTTGAAAAATCTGCCCTTGAGATCTGATTCTGCTCATTCACAGTTATGTGTGAGATCCCTGAATAAGGCACCCAAAAATTTGAGGCACCATTGAATCTTGATGTCTACCCACTCACCTCTTCCTATCCCTGTTCCATGGTTTCACTCCCTCAGGAGAGTATCTAGTTAAGTTAAAAGCAGAAAAAGCCTGCCAGAGCTATTAGCAGAACACTGAACTTGTGAAAGAGCCATTGAAATGGTAATGAAGCCATTTAACAAGCATTTGCCAACCCCACTGCCAGTTTCTAAATGTAATGTGTTAGTAGTTTACAAGATCTTAATTTAAAAATTGCTTTAAAAATTGTTCATCAGTGCATTGCTGAAGATTATAAAATCATATAGCTTAAAAATCTTCTCCTCTCCCAGCTGCTATCAGGCATAGGGATACCAGTTTAACAGTACTGTATAAAGTTCCATAAACCATAAGGATTGCCATGCCCCTGAGGTCAGCTCACAAAGTAAGGCTTTGTCTACAATGTAGGGTTTTTGTGCAAGAAGCTTTTTGCAGAAGAGATCTTCCACTTCTGTATCAGAGGCAGCAAGGTGGGGAGGAGTGGGAGCCAGTGCCCCAGAGCAGCTGGCTTTAGCAGGCTTCCCACAAGCACCGGATCCACCTGCCCCCACCACTCCCACACTGTTGCCTCTGGAGCTGATATGCGTGGGGAGCCAGCTTTTAAGCAGGCTCCCCGTACATGATGGCTCTGCAGACCCACTTCCCCCCCACTTTGCTGTATCAGAGAAAGTGAGGGGGGCCCGACAGGAGCCGGTGGTGGGGGAGCTGTCTTAAAACTGGTCCCCCTAGCACCAGCTCTGCGCTGCGTCCTCTACAGAAGTGTGAGGAAAAGGGGAAGGGAAGGCTGCTGCAAAGCATTCCCTGTACATGGAAGGTCTGAGCTCCCTGTGGACAGAGGCTGTTCTGGCTTCCCACGGAGCTTGGACCCCTCGCGTACAGGGGCTCCTGCCATGGACCAGCCTCTGTTTGTAGGGAACTCGGACCTCTGTGGACAGGGGCTGCTGCCACTCTGCACTGGCAGGCAGCCGATCTGCACGGGAAGCTAGTTTTTTAACTGGCACCCCTGGCAGACCGACTCCTGCCTGCCATCCTGTGCTGCTACCTCTCATACAGAGGCAGCAGTATATGGTAGCGGGGGGTTCCCTGGGAGTGGGTCAGAGCACACTAGCTGCCAGCCCCACCTGGGGACTATCAAATAGTTGTGTAACCACTAAGATTTCATGCAATTACATGACTATTCAATTACCCAATATCTAACATCCCTTGTTCAAGAGCATTCAGGTTACTCTGTATTCTCAATTTAAGGGTTGTATAATGTACTGGGATTACCTTAGGGTTCACTTAAGTCACAGAACCCAGGAAAACTATGGGGGAAATTTTGTTTTTCTTCTTCTATAGTTTCAGTGAGTATTGGACTGAAGTAAGGGAGTCTGATGAACTATAACTGTTTCTAAAATAATTCATGGTTTGAACAGTGACTTTTTTTTGGCAGAATCCTTAATCCAGTATTTATAAAATAGTTCAACGCAAAACAAAACACGTTCAAAAAATTGTGATGACATCTTTGAGGCATTCTTTTGGTTGCCTTTAAATTGCATTTCATTTTACTGAGGTAAATAAATTATCCTGGTAGTCAGAAGTCATTACAAATATGCTATACTTTTCTACATTCTTCTTTACTAAAGTCCCTGGATTCTTTATTGTTCTATGCTGACAATCATTTTTCTTATTTAGCAAGATAAAGTAAACTCCACTCTGGTCAAGCTTAGACTTGAATGGTGCTTAGGGTTACAGAACAAGTAGTGATGAGAGAATCTCAGAAATTGTGGAGTTTCTGTTCTGATTTCCTGTTGGAAGTACTGTGTTTAAGGATTGGGGAGGGACAGAATCTGAGTAAAAATGGTGACCCAATTAGACATTCACAACTCAGGACTCTGAAAAATAAACATCAAAGGTCCAAACAAAGGATTACAATGATCAAATGAGTCTCTGGCAGTCAGAAAGGATAAATGTAAGAAATAGCAGAAGACAGAGAGAATATAAATTGGCAAACTAACAGCAGCTTTCTGCAGCTGAAAAGGGGCCCGGAGAACAGGAATGTAGCACATAGATTTGAAAATCAAAGTTTCTGAAGGGCATGACAGCCAGTTAACATCAACAAACACAAAAACATACAGCCCAATAATCAGGAAAAGGTTGTGCTTTATTCAGTGTACATTCTATTTAACAATGAATTGTCTCAATCTAACAGTCCTTTGTAACGTTCTCAGCAGATAGGTGCAAGACTTCAGGTTTATCATTGTTTAATGTGCCCATTTTCTGGAAAGAGGATGACAGAGAATTTTTAATAAAAATATTTTAAAATAGTTAGATCTGTGGTTTTCAGTGTGTGGTCTGTGGACTCTTATGGATCCACAGACAACATCTAACAGTTCTAAAGGCCACACCTCAATCAGAAATGTTTTAGTGGTCCACAAATGAAAAAGATTTAAAACCACTGTGTTGGAGGAATGTTCTTACTTTCAAGTGATCCATCAGAAGTAACAAAAAATCACTCACTAATGAAAGTTTCCTTACATTGTTCCCCAGTGAGCTTCAGCAATGCCCTGGAGGGACCACGTCCAGCAGTGGGAATCCATCACCCGCTCGTTCTTTGTCGATTAGTTTTATTTCTTGTGGTAGTTTTGTATTATGGACACTTGTCCTATAGAAACTAAACTGAAGCGACAAGTTAATCTGATGGTGGCCTCCAAACCATTTTCGGTTAATAAAAATCTTTGGTCACTACTGACCAGGAGTGGACTTAAACCAGCAACAGAGAAGTCCCGTTCTTTGAACTATTACTTCTCCCAAAGCTCATATGCCAAGTTTTCAAACAATAAAGGTCTACAATTTGCTTAAGATGAAGGTCTGCAGGTACAGTGCAAGTTGATCAATGGCCCACTTGAATCTCCAGGATGTAAAAGCAGAAATCTTATTACAAGTAAATAAAAATTAAACACAACTAGAATTAAAGCGAGGCTTTTATCCCAATCAAACTGAGCAGAACATTAAAACAAAATGCTGTCAGTAGCCAACTTCTTTAGAGAAGGTAGCCGTGCATAAAGCTGAATTGAATAATTAATGAAATTGCTGTTACAGACCCATGTGATGGAAGTAACTGCTTGAACACAGTGAATTTTTCCCTGCACGAAATGTCAGCAATGCATTCCCCACTGAGTCACTATCTAAATATATATTGATTTTGGATTGTCTTAAAAATACATCCACCATTGTAAGAAATGTAAATGTTTCAAGTACCAGAACTGATACAAATATAATAAAGTCATACATGAAATTAAGCTTCTTGCTATGATTTCCTCTTATCTCAGTAATAAAAGAGCACATAAAATACCTATCCTTGGCTAAATACAGTACTTACACACTATCAATTTCAGGAGAACTGATGGGTCAGCAGTTGCTATAGTAACAGGAGTACAGCAAGGTAGAGTTACTATAGGAAAGCCTTTTAAGTTGTTATATACCCTATTGTGTCATTACTGACATGAGGGAA